ACGCAATTCACGGGCAAGAAAAGAAAAACGCACGTCGTTCAAAATATTAGCGGATTTTGTCAGGGACGACAGGAATGCGGTGAGCTGCACGTCTTCGTACTCGGTCTCAAATTCTTCGCGGAACGCGTTGTTTTCGGTGGCAGGCAAAGAAGCGATTAAAGCAGACAGAGACCGCAGTGTGGCGTGGTCTTTCGGCGCTTGTGCTGTGATGATAATTAGTATGCACCACCACTTGGTGGGAAGGATGGCTCACCCGCGACGACATCAGTCACATATTTGACAAGGACCATGATTCGGTCGTGTAACATCTTCACAGCGGCACGCTGGGTTTGAAGATGCGACTCCACTGTTCATATGTTAGCCAATTCTGTGAGAGTGATTTGTTTGTGCGTACAGCTTGTTCCGCTTCCTCCACCCCTCGCTGTCCAGTCTACAGCGATACGTTCAGCCTCGCCTGTTTCGACATTGTATGGGACCTCGATGAAAACCGATCGAGATTTTCGATCTCTCAATTCTATTGTAGGCTCATAAGCCTTGAAAGGCAGGTTTTGTGCATTCACATCTGAGCTTGCAACGAGAGAGATCGAGGGCTGTAGGATGAGCAGCAGTGGCGTTGAGCAGTACCCCGTAAACTGGTCACACGATGTAAGTTGCTGCATGTGCATTGTGATCGAGACTCACTTGTTCATGCAACGCGATATGGCGCGGGGTCGGCCGCGGGGCGACAGTGTACCAACCAATAAACTCAAGGGAGGGAAACACCTGTTTGTCTGGAAAGGATCGTCAGAAGAACGTTTAATGACGCTGGAAAGGCTCACACTGATCGCGTCTGGAGACTAGGAACCCGTGGTCCACCAGTTCGCCGTCGCTTTCGACGGCAAGTTCGAATGTGTTTACAATCTCTACCTCTCGCCCATTTTGCGTCCCCAGGAGAGCCCCCAAGACTGCAATGCAATTAATGAGTGTATTTATGCGGTGTCTTAGTATACGGACCGAAGGGAGAGTTGGAATTGGTCTGCAGTTTTAATCTCGTCAAGTGTTCTGAAATGTTCAAGATGGGGAGAGGGTGTCTGCAAAGAAGCGGTCAGAGGCGCGTCTGACGGAGCCGGACAATACCCACAAAGAAAGAGATAATCCTGATGTTGTAGACGAGGAGAGAACGACCGGGAGTTCGTCAGTGTCCATTGCGCTCATGGTCGATTGAAAGGACGCGGCGTTGTGGCTGTAACTGACTCCTGTAATGTTGTGTTTGGCTATTGATCCAAGTGAAGACCAGGCCGCAACATCCTCACCGCATACTATATTTTTCTGTATGATACAGTGTATTGGTGTGGTCTCAGCAAATTTGATATCTATACGAGCTATAATCCCGATAGACCTAAATTTATTCCAATGCTTCAGCACGTATATACCAGCTTTGGCCAGATATCCAGTGAAACTTGGTCAGCATTGCGAGCAGCCGTCTTCACCGCCAACACGACGAAACCACCATTGTGCCCGCTGAGGCTCTGTACCAGCACATTGACTATTTCTTCGTGCAGCAGTTAATAGGGTTACGGTTACGCGAAATGTCACGGCGTGACACGACGCGTTTTTCCTTTCTTCCTCCCACCACCCCGTTTCAACATGTCTGGCTTTGACGCCCCTGAGGTTTTCACAGTTGCTGCCCACAATGCTCCTGCAGCGATATCTCCCGACTCCCCCTCCGAAACCGAGAAACTCCTTCTCGACTTTCTTCTCCAGTATCGCCTTGGTGGCGAGTTTATCTACAGGTAACAGCAATCCCGAGTTTCTGACCCCCATTTTCTGACGGTGACGCGTAGAGATAAACTAAGGGCGAATCTGCTCTTGAAGCAACGCATTCTTGAAGTCGATCTCCGACATCTCAGTCTATACAACGACGAGTTGGCCCACGCGATTCAGGACACCCCTGCTGTTACAATCCCCCTCGTACGTGAAAATAGGGCTGTTCTAATGTTCTGCTCTCACTTTCTTCGCGTAGTTTGAAAATGCAGCCACCAAAGCAGCGCGTTCCATCCTCTTCCCACTCGTAGGCGTGGGTCGAACGGACGAAGAGAAAAAGAAGAACGCGGAAGACGCTGCAGAGACCATTCCCGGGATCCAAATTCACCTTCGCTCTGGCCTCAACATGCTGCAATTCCGCGACCTCACCGCGAACACCATGAACAAACTCGTGCGCATCCCAGGGATAGTCATCTCTGCTTCAGTTTTATCTTCGCGGGCAACCAAGTTGCACCTCCAGTGCCGTTCCTGTGGAAGTCCCCTTGACATATATCCCTCTGGCGGCATGGGTGGAGTAGGCGGTGGCTCGGATCGAGGGCTACCTCGTGTCTGCGGCGCACCGGTTGGAGGGAAAAAGAAAAACGATGATTGTCCGCTCGACCCCTATCTCATTGTCCACTCCAAATCCACTTTTGCCGATCAACAAACCCTCAAACTACAAGAGGCTCCGGATATGGTCCCGGTCGGAGAGCTGCCCAGACATATGCTCTTGTCGGTCGACAGAAATCTGACAGGGAAAGTCGTCCCTGGGTCGAGAGTTGTTGCAACAGGCATATATTCGACATTCCAGTCGGCCAAGAACGTGAGTCCTTCGAATACCAACCTCCACGGCTGTTGACGTTCCACCACAGAAAAATGCAGGCGCCGCAGCTCTTCGCCAACCGTATCTGCGGGTCGTCCATCTCGAACTATCTTCGGGTCCAACTGGCGGTTCTGGTTCCAATCCTTTCGGCGTCCAATTTACGCCCGAAGAAGAGGAAGAATTCGGAGCAATGGCTCGAAGCGAAGGTTTCTACGAACGATTCTCTAAAAGTGTCGGCCCAAGTATTTACGGCAGTCTGGGTGAGGTTTCTGCGACTTTTCTCTGTCCACTAGCCTAACATGATATGCAGACATTAAAAAGGCAATTACATGTCTTCTGTTCGGAGGATCGAAGAAGATTCTTCCCGACGGTATGAGACTTCGAGGAGACATTAACGTTCTATTATTGGGTGACCCGGGAACGGCAAAAAGTCAACTGCTCAAGTTCGTCGAGAAGGTGATCGGTGATTTATTTCTGAATATACCTTGATGCTCACGATACCCAGGTCGCCCCCATTGCTGTTTATACATCTGGAAAAGGTTCCAGCGCCGCGGGTCTCACTGCTTCTGTTCAGCGGGATACAGTGTCTGCAAGTCGTCGACATCTACGTCCCATTCCCAAACTGACTAGCGTTAGCGCGAGTTTTACCTCGAGGGAGGTGCTATGGTCTTGGCTGATACCGGTGTGGTCTGCATCGACGAATTTGACAAGATGCGAGACGAGGATCGCGTCGCTATCCATGAAGCCATGGAGCAGCAGACCATATCCATTGCCAAGGCTGGCATTACGACCGTTTTAAACTCTCGGACTAGTGTGCTCGCGGCCGCCAATCCCGTCTTTGGTCGGTATGACGAAGGAAGGAGCCCTGGCGAGGTTCATTGTTTTTTTTCTCGTTATCCTCGCCCGCTAAACTGGCGCTTCAGAATATTGATTTCCAGACGACCATCTTGTCGCGTTTCGACATGATCTTCATCGTGAAGGATGAGCATAACGAACAACGAGACAAGGTGGGTGGAGAGTGGCTTCATTACCAGCAATAACTAAATCCAAATTCTCAGATGATCGCCAGGCACGTCATGAATACCCAGATGAATCGACCGGAGGAGAACGTCGACAAAGCTGTCGACGAGCTTAGCTTGGACGTTATGAAGCGGTACATCGCATATTGTAAAAGGTGCCTATACTTGTGCAGGACTTGAGTTTGTCACTGAACATCCGTTATTTAGCAAATGTGCTCCCCGGTTGTCCGCCGAGGCTCAGGAAATGTTGAGCAGTCACTTTGTCAGCTTGCGCAAGCAAGTGCAGCAAGTAGAGCGGGATAACGACGAGCGCAGTTCTATCCCGATTACTGTGCGGTGTGTTATCATTCAGATGTTCTAGGCTTATTTGGGTACTGAACTCCGACCAACAGACAGCTTGAAGCTATCATCCGTATATCGGAATCGCTAGCGAAGATGACCCTTTCCACTGTCGTTCAAAATCATCATGTGGAAGAAGCCATTCGGCTGTTCAAGTTCTCCACCATGGATGCAGTCTCTGCCGGTTCTGCTGATGGTCTTTCTCGAGGAGAGTTGAATGAAGAAATGGTCAAGATAGAACGGGAACTGCGAAGAAGACTCCCTGTTGGCTGGAGTACAAGCTATCAAAGTCTCGTCCGAGAATTCGTGACTCAGCAGGGTTATTCGAGCCATGCATTGGAGCGGACCTTGTTTGTCATGGAGAAGAGCGAGGTAATCCGGTTCACGGGTCAGGTCAGCCCTCTTTCTGCGCTCAGTAGTATGGCAGTGACTGACTATTGCCGCCAATCAGAAAAAAGTAGTGCATAGGTTCGTAAAGGCTGAGTTGACCGTATTTTCTTGCTGACTTTTTTGTGTAGGGTTGGTGTTTGATCTCGTCCGTTATTGCTTTTCCTCTGTATTATTTTGTATACCATGTGTAATTCATTTCCACTGCTCAGACATGCGCTTGTGGTGGGCCATAAACGATTCAATCGTCCATTTTTCTGGAACTGACATCTCCTTGAATCATCCCAAGACAACGTTAATGCTGTTTCTCGACGGTTTGTGGTTGATTTCAGACTGGTCAGCTCGATTCTACTATTAAAGCATCTCCTTCAATCTGCCGTTTCTCGACGGTTTGTAAATTAAGTGTCGACTTTCTTTTGGACTCTTTCTGATCACAACGTCTCCAGCTCTACTTTGGATATGGGTGAAACAGAATGTCTCAATTCATTTCGCTTGGGTCAACTCCAACCCATGTATCCATGGAATGGGTGCATAAGCGTCACTGGTGATATTGAGAAGTGACGTCCAGAAAAAAACTTGACCGCTGAGGTCTCCTTTAAAAACAGATGTAAACCTACACGCTATGGGTGAAACAGAATATCCCACTTCAAGCCCGCCTAGCTCAATCGGATAGAGCGTCAGACTTTTAAAAGAGTCCGCCAGGCGGGAATCTGAAGGCTGCGAGTTCGACCCTCGCGGTGGGCTAATTACCTTTTTGTCTTTTTCGGGGTTTTTTTTTTTTTTTTTTTTTTTTTTTTTTTTTTGGGTTGATCTTTCAATTTTGCCAGTCCTCATTATTTATTGGCCCCTTCAAGCTTAAGTTTAAATCCTATCTTTGTTGATTCTTCAGCAATGGACGAGAAAGACTGCTGAACTTCAAAAGTCTTGAGGTTGCCTTACGTAAGTCACGCTTTTTTTTTGGCTTCACCATCGACTTGATAGGAGGATACCGGCCCACAAATAAATGCACAGCAGAGCGAGAAGGCTAATCACAACCGATCTTGCCATAAATGAGAAAGGAAAGGTTTTTGGGTCTTGGAAACTTGAAGGGAATCATCCGTCGCAGGGGACTCAACTAACTGTCAAGAGAAAGGACATTACCGCCGCGTTCTGGCAGAGGTGGCGTGCCCTACGATCAGGGAGCGAAGCGACCTGTCGCGGAAGAGATTGATGTACGGGAAGTCGTTCGTTGAAACGGGGCTGGCACGAAAGGACATTACCGCCGCGTTCTGGCACTTTCGATCCCGGCCCTGTTGGCCTGTTTCCCAGTTGCTGCAACCGACTTTACTATTTGCATCTTATCTTGTTGGACTCTTCTGAACGCGTCTGCTACTATCCCTTTTGGACTTATGGGACCAAACTCATGCATTCTTGGTCGGAAATCCCGACATTCTGGCATTTCAAATTCGGCCTTCAAGCCTCAAGGTACAAGTATTTTCCCGTAATTTTGCGCCAACAAAGGGGGCCGTTGACAGTCCGAATACTCTGGACATTACCAAGCCAATTGCCATTAGGTTTGCGAGGAGCCAGCTACCCGGACAATTCATCGTGTAAACCGACCCATTCAAATAGACAACCTTGTGATTGAGGTAAGCTAACCCGTCGGCCCCGACTTGCTGGATCGTGTCCAAGTTGTGCTCCATTCAATCACGTTCAGCTGTGTCCACAACTCAAATCTCGAACCACCCTGGGATTCCATCAAACACAAATCGCAGCTCCTTTTTGCTATTCGTTCGTTCCCTCCCCAAATTTAGAATGGACAAAAATCTCTTCTTTGGTTTGTGGCGTTCGATGAAAACAAGGTTGTGTCAAGCAATTCGCCAACTGACCATTCCCGTTATGTCTCCGTCCGTATCTTTCAATTTTCCTTTCCAGCTAAATCCGAATGAGCGGTATCTTTCTGCTGCTTCCTCGATCTAAGCTTCTCCCGCCCTGCAGAATGTGGTGATTCCACTTATTGCAAGCACCTTCTAATTTCCAGCGCATGTCACATTCTCAACATCTCGGTTCCACACGGACTGACTGGGTTACCTTTATGACAACATTTAAAAGGCCTCCTGAACCTTGTGGAACTTCTCGCGGGCTTCTTTTTGATATGTTCTTACTCTGACTGCCCCCCCTTTTCCTCACAATATGCACCAATGCTGCGATATGGGGCTAAATCTCTGGGTCGCCATTCGAAATCTATATGTTGCGTGGAACAATTCTGATACCACTAACAATTTTGCTCTGGTCGGCCTCGATTCCATCTATTACGCGAACCCTGTAAGTTACAGTATATTCCCGGCTCCGTTCGCTCCACATCTCCACAACTAGTTTAATGCCAGACGGCACGAGTTTCTGGCTCGAGATTTATGTATTCAGTGCAACTTCTCGAAGGCTTGTGACCTTGTTTCGACTCGTTATCAAAGCTGTTCCCCTCAGCGCCGTACCAATGCCACGATGCGCATCTATGGCCCTCCGGAATCTATATGCTGAACACTGGAACACTTCTGATAGCCAGCCAGAGCATTGGACTCGTCCGTCTTCTGTCCTTGCCATCAGGCTGGCATCAGCCTTCGACCAATTTTTTTGAATTCAATTCACGCTCAATTCAATCTCTGGCCAACCCTTGACATTCTTAATGGTTCCAATGATTGCGGTTGTCGTATTTCAATTCCTGAATCGAGATCTATTCGGTACAACTTCTCGAGCGCTGGTCGAAAATGTGGCGATGTGGGGCTGTATCCCTGTGAATCTAGAATCGCGGCAACAACAATCAGCGAGTGCCCGCTACTTAGTACCTGGCAGTCCATATTTCCCCGCCAGTGCATTCGGTATCTGAAGACAGTTCAAGATGCACTGTCAGGGCCCATTCTCTTGCAATGGTTGTTCGCGTATTGAGACGGTGTCGTTGACGTTTTTGAGTAAATCAACGAGCCGAAATGCCCTCAAATTATTAGATAAAACCAGTTACGTTTCTCTGGTTTCCCCCAGCTAGTCTCGGTCTCACTCGGATGTAGTAAATTGTAAAGGCATTCGTTCCAAGCCCTCCCACCCGTGTTAAAAAGTTGAACGTCCAGTACACCTTGCATTGAACCCAAAATTCAAGCTGGGGTGCAAGAGAGGACGAAAGTTTTTTAAAAAATCTGTACCCGGGCGGATAGAAAAGGTTGAGGCATTACTGGCAACCAGTAAAAGTAAATACTTAGCTGAAGATACCGTTCGTTGAGTAAATTGCGAGCAAAAAAATTAGAGTTTTGATGGGATCAGAAAAATGGAGGGTCGCTTCCAGAGCTTTCAAATTACACTTTTTTTGGTCATTTTCGACCCAAAAAGACGAAAAAGTGACTAGCCCACCGCGAGGGTCGAACTCGCAGCCTTCAGATACCCGCCTAAATAAGAGTCTGACGCTCTATCCGATTGAGCTAGGCGGGCTATGAAGTGGAATATTCTGTTTCACCCATATCCAGAGTAGAGCTGGAGACGTTGTGATCAGAAAAAGGGAGATGCTTTACTATCTGAGGCAGATTGTGTTCAGAGTACGTTGTGATCATAAAGAGTCCAAAAACAGTCGACAGTCAATTTACAAACCGTCGAGAAACAGCAGAGAATCCAAGGACTATCTGAGATCGATTGTGTCCAGAGTGGAAAGGGTCCAAAAAAAGTCGACAGTCGATTCACAAACCAGAGAACAGATTCACTAATATCTGAGGCTAATTGTATCCAGAGTAGAGTTGGAGACGTGTGATCAGAAAGAGTACAAATCGTCGAGGAACAGCAGATATTCAAGGAGATGCTTTACTATCGAGGCTGATTGTGTCGAGAGTAGAGCCGACCAGAACGAGTCTGAATCAACCACAAACCATCAAAAACTGCATTAACGTCGTCTTGGCACAGATGATTATTGAATCGTTTCTGGCCGAGAAACAGCAAAAATAGGTTGGCCCGAGTTAACAGTAATCCTTCCTTTCATGCATCCACAAGAATAGGAAACAGGGGGCGCTTGAAGGCGTCTGGACAAGATAGAGGCTCGGAAATGTGGAAACGAGACCATTGACATGAATCGTAGCACCCCAAAATGTTCTAGCCGTGGAATCCAAGCACTCTAAATGCAGAGCATTGCGGCCTGGTGTTGTGTACACGTCTGTGGACACGACGGAGCCACGTACATGCATTTGTTGCCATGTTTACATTGCGTTGAATACAATATTGGCTGTTACCTCGTAGACTTGGGCGCAGAAAAAGAGAGAATGGTGGCCATCGACGAGATGTATTTCCCGCAGTTGCGGTGGATTTACGCCGTAGCTGTGATGGATCAAAGATCTGTTGATCTCAAGGCAGTGCATCCTTTCCTCTCTTTGACCACCTTCACCTCAACCTCTGACTCGCTCATATTAATCCAGCACCATGTCCGTTCCACAGGGCACGCAGTATACACCCAACACAGTCTTTGATGACTTGACCGCGGATTACAGCAAGACGCTCGACTTTGCGTCGTTTCAGAGCCCCTCTGACATCCTTGCACCCCATCCCGATCTCTTCGAGCTCGAACTAGACTCTAGTCTTGCTGGATTCGATGATGACCAGCTCCAACTCCTCACAATCGACTCCCACGACGCATACTCGTTTTTCAGGTCTGACACGCCCACCAGAGGCCCCCCATCCAACATAACTGCCTCCTCAGAGTCTGCCTATGATTCTCTTTCATCCTATTCCGAGTCCTTCTATAACTACCCTCATTCGCCTCAGCCTCCTTCCAACTATTCCTTCCCCCTCGACCTCGAGATGGACTTCCAGCGCATCCGCGTTGATGCTGCATCAGAATACGCCGCAGCCCAGGCAAGCTCTGATGCCGCAGCAGATCGCATGTCCTTTGGCACCAGCGCGGCGCCTGACACTTCCCGCAGCACCAAACCATATACAAAAGCGTACAATTCCCGTCCCACTTTTTCAGACTACGGACCCTCCACTGGTCGCCCCTCGATTCCCGTTGACTTGTACAGTCAACTCAATAATTTTAATACCCAAACTCTCGCCGGTCCAACCGTCTCCCCATCCCATATTTCTACGCAATTACCCACTATTCCAGCTGGGCAGATGGCGCATGTACCGGAGGAAGAAGATTACAAGGGTGGCGACGCCCGCAAGAAGTACAAGTGCTCCGCGTGTCCGCGAGGTGAATTGTCTTGACACTTGATTCAATATTCTGTTGCTCACTGCCTCTGTTTCTAGCATTCGCCAGAGCGTACAATCTCAAAACACACATGGCCACACACGACCCCAACAGGCTCAAGCCTCACGTCTGTCCCCACCGCTCCTGCGGCCGTTCGTTCAGCCGCAAGCATGATCTTGGGCGCCACCTTATCAGCATTCATCGCGACGAGTCGCAGCGCGAGGAGTCTGTATGCTCCTCCCACCACTCCGTGGGTCCAAGAAGTCTATCGGCGTGGAACAGGGAACGCGCAGATGGTGTGACCGCTGCGGAAAGGGTCTCGTCGGCCACGCAGTCGACTGCGACTGCACCTAGATCACTTACTTCCTCTTCAAGTTACTTCTTTTCGTGTGAGATTCTCCCGCATACTTACGCGTCCCGCAGTTCGCTGACTCGACGTGCAGGCTTACGTCACTATTCAGCCGGCTCCGCAGTTTCTGGCCGCTTGTGCTCTTTGGCTCAACCCAGATTCTGTGTCCCTCCCTGCGTCATTCGTGTGTCACGTATCGTA